AACTCTCCCCTACTCCTTTTGAACAGTCAACTTCAAGATCACTGGGACAGCTCATCCACTCCTGCATTTGTGGTCTGATTGACGGAGCTTGGGGAGCTTCACACCCCAAAACAGCTTCCCTTCTTATGCTTGAAATCACCCCCTTCACTCAGGGCCAAAGCCCCTCAGGTCTCTTTTGACAATACAGATCCCCTTGGAGACATAATGTGTATTCACATGAATACATTTAGTCAAACTCTCATGTCTTGAGGGGGCTGTAGAAACAGCCCCTGCAGAGAGAAAAGGGCCACAAGAGGCTGGGCAAAAAGGCTGTCTCTCCCCAGCTGGTGGAAATGGGAGGAGGTCCAAAAGGTGGAGGCATATTGGTCTCAGAAGGAAGGGCAGGACTCCTACTACCTGAGCAGAGGTCTCCTCAGGGTCCTCCTCTGGCAGGTGGCCTGGGCCACTGTCTAAGTTCGCTGGTGGACCTGCATCCTGAGCGATGAGGCTCTCCCCTCGGTGGGGCCAGCCAGGGTTCAGCACTGACATTGATGGCAACGTCTGCCCAGAAAATAACAAGAACACCTCCCATTTACTCAGTCCTTAACAATGTGCTACTAGGAGGTGCTAAGTGCTCTCTACAGACATTATCTCATTCAACAACCTTGTGAGTTAGTTGGTAGTTTTGTCTCCACTTTACAGATGACCAAATTGAGGCTGGGTGAGCATAAATGGTATGCCCAAGGTCACACAGCTAGTAAGGGGCAGAGCTAGATCTTGAGGCCAGGCCTTTCAGCTCCAGAGTTGAAGCTCAAACTCTGGGTTCTCCTAAGATTGGGATGGAGGAAAGAGAAGGCCCACAGTGGGAGGAGAGGGCATTTTGCCTTTCTGGTGAGCCTTTGAGCAGACTGGTCCCACCTTCCCCACCTCCCTAGCCTTAACTCTCACCATTCCTCTTTGTATACTTACCAGGCCAGTGAGCTTGCTTCCTCCCCACTCCCTTCACAGGCCCCACTTTCCAGCTGTAGGCTTGAGCCAGGTGAAAGGACCACTTCACCAGGAAGCCCTTCTCAGCCTCTCCAGCCCATAATGTTTTTCTTTGCTGCCTGTGTCTCTCTCAGCTCCTCATCTAGTCTATAAGCTCCTCCAGGACAGAGGAAAACCTTGTCTTTCTATCTTCTACCTATAGTGGCAATTTCATTGGACAATTCTAAGTGCATCTCTTCAGCTCTCCTCTGGGCAAGCCCTGGTATGACCACAGTGTCTTGGGAGTGGGGGGTGACTACTGAAGTAGAAAAGGGGTGGGCTCTGCCCACAAGGAGGTCATACTCTAGAGGGTAAGACAGAGATGAAACCAGGTAGAATGGGGCTAGAGCTCTGGGCAGGTATACACAACACCACAGCAAGAAAAAGAACCAAAGCACACTTTTCTGTTTACTCTGTGCCATTTTACATATGTGCATTTTACATATTTAATCCATCCTCACAAAAATCCTATGAGGTAGCTTCTATTATCCCATTTTAAGGTTGAAACAAACTGAGGTTAATTACCTTGCCCAAGGTCACTTTAGAAGACTAAAGGAAGCTTTAGGAGGAGGCTGCCTTTGAGAGCTGGGATGGATTCTGACTGGTGGCAGGGCACAGGAGTGCCATCACCAAATCCCTGGCCTCTCTAAAACTTGGCTTTGGGGATCGGAACAGGGTTTGGACTCTTAACAGTTATACTGCTTCCCAGCCCACAGCCCCCCCCCCCCC